CGCCAGCAATGGAGGAGTGTTCCTCTTGCTCTACATCCTTTCCAGCATGAGCTGACTCTTGTGTTTTTGATCTTATCCATTCTGACAAGTGTAAGATAGAATCTCAGAGTACGTTTGATTTGCGTTTCCTGATAGCTAAAGATGATGAACATTTCTTTAAGTGTTTCTCTGCCATTTGAGATTCTTCTGTTGAGAATTCTCCATTTAGGTAAGTACCCCCCATTTTTTTTTAAATTGGACTATTTGTTTCTTTGATGTCTAGTTTCTTGAGTTCTTTGTATATCTTAGAGGTCAGCCCTCTGCTGTATGTGAGTCTGGGAAGATCTTTTCCCATTCAGGAAGTTGTATCTTGTGCCAATGCATTTGGGGCTGCTTTCTACCTTCTATTAGGTTTAGTGTAACTAGATTTATGTTGAGGTCATTGATCCACTTGGACTTTTCAGTAGCAGAGACACTAAGATCGACAATGAATAAATGGGACCTCATGAAACTGAAAAGCTTATGTAAGGCAAAGGATACTGTCAATAGGACAAAATGGTAGCCTACAAAAAAAATGGGCCTAGGATTTGATTAGAAAGTTCTCTAAAGAAGAAAAACATGGCTAAGAAATATCTCAAAAAATATTCATCATCCATAGCAATTAAGGAAATTCAAATCAAAACAACTTGGAGATTTCATCTTACCGCAGTCAAAATGGCAAAGATCAACAAAACAACCTACAACCAATGCTATGTGGGACTCAGGGAAAGAAGAACCAACCCCTATTCATTGTCAGTAGATTGCAAACTGGTCCAACCAATATGGATATAAGTGTGGAGAATTCTCATAAAGCTTTTTGAATCTAACTTATGACCCAACTATACCATTCCTTGGCATATGCTCAAAGGGCTGGACACCCTACTCTATAGACACTTGCTCAGCCACGTTCATTGCTGCTCTACTATGCCCCTCTCATAGGCAGTGGCACTATTAGGAGGTGTGGCCTTGTTGGAGGAATTGTGCCATGGTGGAGGTGGACTTTGAGATCTTTTGTGCTCAAGCTGCACCCAGTGTCACAGGCTCCTTCTACTGCCTACAGATCAAGGTGTAGAACTCTCAGCTCCTTCTTTCGTACCATGTCTGCCTGCATGCCACCATGCATGTCCTGCTATGATGATAATGGATTAATCTTCTGAAACTTTAAGATAGCCCCAATTAAATGTTTCCTTTATAAGAGTTGCTGTGGTCGTGGTGTCTCTTCACAGCAATAGAAACCTTAATTAACACTCTAAGAAATGGAAACCTTAACTAAAACACTAGGAAATGGAAACAACCTAAATGTCCTTCAACTGATGTTGTGGAATATTAGTTTAAGATGTGCTACATTTGTTTATGCTGTGGAATATTTGTTTAATGCTGCAAAAATATGTTGCATTCTTTTATGTTGCATTTGCTTAACTCTGTAAAGCTGTGTTACTTTGTCTGTCTAAAACACCTGATTGGCCTGATAAAGAGCTGAACAACCAGTAGCAAGGCAGGATAGAGAAATAGGTAGGGTGGCCAGGCAGAGAGAATAAATAGAAGAAAAGAGAGGAGTAAGAGAGAAGTGAAAAAGGAGGAGAGGAAGACGCCAGGGGCCAACCACCCAGCCACACAACCAGCCACAGAGTAAGAAGGACAAGAAAGGTATAAAGAATAGAGAAAGGTAAAAGCCCAGAAGCAAAAGATAGATGGGATAATTTCAGTTAAGAAAAACTGGCTAGAAATGAACCAAGCTAAGGTGGGGCATTCCTAAGAAAGAATAAGTCTCCATGTATTTATTTGTGAGCTGGGTGGCAGGCCCCCAAAGAGTTAAAAAAAACAACTACAAACTGATGATTGGATAATGAAAGTGTGGTACATACACACTATGGAATACTAGTCATTTGTAGTAAAGAAAAATAAAGTCATAAACTTTGCAGGTTAATTGATAGAACTAGAAAATATCATATCAAGTGAGGTAACCCAGACTCAGAAAGACCTTTGGGTCACATATTCTCTCTCATTTGAGGGTTCTAGCTATAAATCTTCAGATGTAAGTAAATATTCTGGAGTACCTCCAGAAATCGGGAGAAAGTAAAAAGTGGCCATTGCTGGGGTTGGGAGTGGGGATCGATAGAGAGGGGAGTATCAGGGTATAAGTGATCTGATGGGGGAAATGGGAAAATGGGGGGCTCTAACTAAAGAGGGGGAGGGAGATAAATGTAGAATAAGGAGTAAGGGGGCAAAATAATAGTAAGGATGTCTGAAAAAATCATAAGGGACCATACTATTAACGATCTGCCTAAAAATGCCTATAATATACATAAGTTGTTATAT